ACACACACACACACACACACCACACACATACACACACACACACATACACACACACACACACACACCACACACATACACACACACACACATACACACACACACACACACACCACACACATACACACACACACACATACACACACACACATACACACAGACACACAGACACACACACACACACACACACACACACACACACACACACACACAGAACTAGACAAACGCAGGTGGCCTTCAGAGCAGTTGGCTTTGAGAGCAGTGCTGATTAACTAACGGAACAGGAAGTCCCACCTGATCCTTTCAGCGTATACAGACCCAAGTGTTAAATCTTCCCCTGAAATCTCTCTCACGTGCCTTGTGTGAGCTGCTGTGTTCAGATCTTGTACTAGCAATGTCTCAGGTTTGGAACCAAAAGCCCAGGTGAGGCTGTAATAGTCACTTTCACCAGATCAGTGGACAGCCCAGACAGGAGCCCCTAAAGGCTTGTGAGGGGTGAGGCAGAAGCCTGGCAGCCGATGTGGGTGCCATACACATTGCCACGAGCTTGAGACTATCACAGGTGTGTATTTTCAATTAATAGATTTTCTAGAAAAATTCATCAGGAATCATAGCTCCCCTAGCAGCAATATGCTGCTGCTCACATCACATAAAAGGATAACTATAAAGAGAAAAACCATATCATAAGAAAGTCACAATTTAAGCCCCCCAACAAAACCACACACTGAGGTGTGTATGTGTGTGTATGTGTGTGTGTGTATGTGTGTGTGTGTGTATGTGTGTGGTGTGTGTGTGTGTGTGTGTATGTGTGTGGTGTGTGTGTGTGTGTGTGTGTGTCCTTTATCATGGATGAGCTGTTCAGTGTTGGCACACTGTTAAGGCTCCGTAGGGTTTAATAGATGTATGATGGCATGTTTGGGGCATCACTGCCCCAGGGATCTGTGTGTAGTCCTTCTCTTTCATTCCCTGCCCTGGAGTTTGTTTTCCAGCTGATGCCATAGCTGGAGTCTTACAAGTGTGGTCTTAGAGATTGACTTATTTCATAGCAATTTGCATTTGAAGATCCTCCCTGTCTTCTTACTGACCAACAGCTGTGTTCTATTTTCGTCACAGAACATTCATTTCCATTGTGTGGAGCTGCCATGGTTTTTTTTATCTGCTCACCTGCTGAAGAACATCTCAGTTGTTTTCATGTTTTGTTGTTGTTTTTCTGAGTCTTACCATGTCACCTTGTCTGGTCTAGAGTAGACCTGGGTGGCCTCAAACTAACAGATCCGCCTGCCTCTGCCTCTAGAGTACTGGGATCAAAGGCGTGCGCCACCACCTCCCGGCTAAATGTGCTCTTTTAATACATATCTGATGATAGCAGGAGAGAGGCTTTCTGGGGTTAAAAGTAAATGTATTTGAAGTCTTCGCATCTAAATTGATTGTCAGTTTCACACATATTACATTACAGTGGGGCATGGTGGCCAGTGTATGCAGAACCTGAAACCACGGGCTAGTCAAATGTTGTCACACTGAAAACATTGTCCCATGGAGAACCATCAGGGATGTGGTGGGAGTCCCAGAGCCAGGCCAGGAGGCCCAGGCTCTCAACTATGTGCTCTCCCTCTGATCAGGAACCAACGAGAAAATCTTAGACAACATAACGGAGGAAGGCAGGCAGCTGATGGCCATGGCTGAGTCTGTGTTCCAGAAGGTTGCAGAGGAACTGGAGAATGGTACCATCGTGGTTGGACAGCTGGAGTTGATCCTTGAGCACAGGACTCAGTTTGTTGACATCTGGGGCTTAAGTAAGTGTGAAGTTAAGACACCTTCAGGCAACATCAAGAGGGGGGAAGCTTGGGTGTGACATTTGGTGGGCAGGATGTGTTTCCAGGCTTTGTAACCGCGCGCAGCTCTTGTCAGCGAGTTGAGAAGCTGTGGTTTATTATTCTGAGGAATATCATGAGCAAGCAGTAGAATGACGGTGGTTAAGAGCTTGCCGCCATTCCATGGCTCCACCATCTTCATAGACTGGCTGAGCAGGAGTCTTCCTGGTCCCTCCTCCTTGCCCTGGCCATGGAGCAAGTGCAGAGCGAGGCAGCATAAAGTAGTTACATGGAAGACAATCTGGATTGTGTGAGCTGTCAAGTTGCTTTTCAGGTAGAATACAGCTGCCACTCCAGGAGAGGGCCTGTGATTTGAAGGACTTGCTGACCAGGAGAAAGGATGACCTGCGGTTCCTCAAGCGAGAGAAGAGATACGTGGAGAGCCTCCTGAGGCAGTTTGGGAGAGTGAAACACCTCGTGGAAGGTGGGCACCCAGGAGTGGCACTGAAGAACCGAGGGGACTCAGGGACGGGCAGGGGAAGGTGCAGAGAAGTTGGAGCAGAGTAGCAGAGCTGGTGAGGGGAGGCTTTAAAACAATTTTTAAAATTTTGCATTGGCTCAGGGTAGACACTGGGAGGCAATCTTGAGACCTCAAACTCACAGAGATCCTTCTTCCTCTGCCTCTCCAGTGCTGGGATTAAAGGTGTGTGATACCACCACCCTCTTTTTATCTTATTCAGTGAGACAGGGTCTCTCAATCAAACCTAGAGCTTGCTGATGTGTCTAGCCTTGCTAGCCAGTTTGTTGTGGGGATTCGTCCATCCCTGCCTCCCCAGGCTAGAATTACAGACAGGCTACCATAGCCACCTGACCTTATATGGGTTCCAGGGATCAGAATTTTTAAAATTCAAGTTCACTTGTGTTTGCCAGAGGGATTTAATGTCACCTCTATTCACTGCCATGCCTACAAGCATCCCCCTGACTTTTATGGCTAGAACTGTTGACTCCTGAGATGGGGTACCTCATCCTCATCACCACTCGATGGGTGGGGGAGCCCTGGGCTCTCCCTTTACTCTGCTGGTGTCATCTGTGCCTCTTCCTAAGTGTACTCCCCTGCATATCCCTGCCCTCTTGCCCTGGTGCTGTATTTGGCGGACACAGCTTAGCTGCCCTCCTGAGAGGGAGAGAGCTCATAGTCTGAGTGAGTGCATGTCTGCTCTAGCTCTGTGCAATGCTTGCCTGGGAACAGAGCAAAGATTGTAAGTTACTGCCCTGTAAGTATTGCTCCTGGCTGTGTCTGGTGCTGCTGGGAAGCTCTCACTGGATGCTCTGTAGGTCGGACTACCCTTGAATTCACAGAGATCCATCTGCCTCTGTAGTGGTATCTTGCCTTGTCAGTGAACTTGTAGTTCATGCCTCTGCCTCCTGAGTGCTAGGATGAAAGGGATGTGCCTGTCCAGTTTCTCACTTTAAAGATACAATGTCTATTTTATAATTGGTGTGAACTTTAGAAGGGAGTGAGAACTAGGTGCATGTTTTCCAACTGACCTTTTACCCAGAGTTTACAATGTTTTCCTTCTTGAGAAAACTGAAGGACAAAGTCAAGGTGGGAGGGAGGAAAGATGTCTGTGTTTTACGAAGAAAATAATCCAAGTGGTCGTATTTGAGTTTTCTTTGAGAAGTGAGTAGAGAGAGGGCCAGGGCTGTATCAGGAGTGGAGCACCTGGCCGATCTGTCCCCAGTGCCAAAAGAGAGCTCTAGTTCTGCTCATCCTGGTGCATGACCACAACCCCAGCCATTAGGAGGATGATTAGTTGGAGGCCAGCCTGGTTACACATTCGGACCTTTATTCCCTCACTAAGAAATAGAAGGGATGCTAGGCAGTGGTGGCTCACGTTTTTAACTACAGCACTCGAGAGGCAGGTGCAGGTGGATTTCTGCATTTGAGGCCAGCATGGTGGATAGAGGGAGTTCCAGGACAGTCAGGACGACACAGAGAAACCCCATCTCAAAACAAAACAAAACAAAAAAACCTGGGAAAAAAAATCAAGAAGGGGTGTATGCAATAAAATGCTACTATCTTCAGAGGGTTAACATACAACCTTTCATTCTGGTTTCCATAGTGGAGTTGGGAGATATTGAAGCAATACACTCTCAAGATCTCAGCAAGAAGAAACTCAATGAAGCCTTGATAAAGCCACCTGGATCCTCACCCCACAAAAGAATGACACATTACTGCCTGAGCCCAGAGATCCGAGAAATTGCAAGCAAGCTAGACTTGCTGAAAGACAGCCACATCTTCCAAGTCTTCTGGCAAGAGGAGGCAGAGTTGCTTAGTACTCAGTATCAGGATGGCAGAGAGTTGAAGTTACAGCTCCTAGACGCCTGCAACTACCTGTACTACCCCTGCTACAAGAAATTCTACAGTCTCTATGAGAATGTGAAGTCAGGAGAGATCACCTTTGCTGAAGTTGATGTCGTCTTCAGGGACTTTGTAGATAAATATGATGACCTGACTGCCGATCTAAAGTTCATGTGTGCTATGGATCCCCAGGACCAAAAGGGTTGGATCTTAAAGCGTGTCGGGCAGATCAAAGAATACCACAGCCTGCACCAGGCCGTCAGCTCTGCCAAGGTCATCGTTCAGGTCCAAAGCACTTTGGGAGTGACTGGTGACTTCAGTGTTCTTGACACATTGTTAAACTTCGTAAGTTGTTTGCTGGCTTTCCCGAGGGGCGAGGGCCAACCTCAATGTTCTTGAGAGCTAGGGGGCTTCTGGCATGGGGCGGGGTGGTTGTGGGAGATGGTGAAGCAGATGGACGGCGAAGCTTTCTTCATGAGTCCACCTGGTGGCTCCTGAGCCAGTGAGTTTCCAGCCTTCCTTCAGGGGGTCGGCAAATCAAGAAGAGGCCATGTTCTTCTTCACTGTTTTTGAGAGTATAATTGCTATGTACTTTTTACTATTTTTGAGATTATAATTACTTATTTCTCCCCTTTCCAAACTCTCCTGTGTACCTCTCTTTGCTCTCTTTTAAATTCATGGCCCATTTTGCCGTGTTCTTTAACAAGGGCTCTGATCACAGAAGGGAGGAAGGCCACCTGTCCCACGTGCGATTGCATGAGCTCTAGGCAGTAGCATGTGACAGACACATCGAGCCTGGCAGAGCTGAGATGGAAGGTCTCTTTTGTTTCCATTTTAAGACAGGGTTTCTCTGTGTCCCAGCTGTTGCAGGCTGGCCTTGAACTCACAGAGATCCACTTGCCTCTTCCTTTCAAGTTCTGAAATAAGAGGCATGCACTACCATAGTCTCCTTTGGGCCTGTTGCTGGTCCAGTAAAGTAGAGAGAGGGAGAGGAGAGGAGAGAGAGAGAGAGAGAGAGAGAGAGAGAGAGCTGGTAGTGCTATGTTGAGGAACAGATTCCAAAGACCATGTAAGCTTTGCTGTGGAGTGGGAGGTATGGGGCGAGCAAGACTTGGAGGAACAAGGGGCATTTTGACCAGGGAGGAAAAGGTCCTGTTGTTCTTGATTAAAGGAACCTTGGTCTTGCTGTGGGGGGTGGCTGTCTGAATGAAGACTAGGCTTGGCTGACCAGTACAGTACAAGCTAAACTTCATCTTCCAGGCGGATTCCTTTGAGGATTTTAGTCATGAAAATCTGAAGCAGATCAGCCAAGAGTTCATCCAGGCCAAGAAGCTGCTCCAAGACATCACTGAGCCCCGCCACCGCTGCCTGGAGGAACTCTCTAGGCAGAAGGAACTTGTGGACTGGTTGCATGAGGCCCTGGAAGGTATGGCCAGCCCTTTGTACTTGTCTGGGTCCTGCAGGTGGCGCCGGGTGGTTCTCTGAGGTTCTGGGACTTGAGGAAATATATCCCCTTTGTCACATGCTGTGCAAAGGCCAGGAAAGTTGCTCCTGCCTTCTTTAGGCAACGGGGCAGCGTCTGTCTCAGTCACTGGGGTTTGTTTTATTCAGATGATGTCTCTCAGGTTCTTGTGTGGAAACTTTGCTTTGTAGCTCCCCGAATACTGTGGCTACTTGCTGTGACTAGCTGAAGATCATTTTGTAAAAACCCAGCCTCCTTTAGCCTTTTAATTTTATTTTTATTTATTACTTTGTAATGGTGTTTTGTCTTTATGTATGTCTGTGTGACACATGTGACTGGTGCCTGTGTTAGGTCTAAAGTGGGTGCCAGATCCTCTAGAACTGAAATTACAATTGGTTGAAAGCCTCCACGTGGGTGTTGGGAATGGAACCTGTATCCCTTGGAAGGCCAACAATTGCTCTTAACCACTAAGCCATCTTCCTGTTTTTTTAAAAATTTTTTTAATTAAATAATTTTATTTTTATTTTTTGTGTATGTGTATTTCTCCTGCATATATGTCTGTGCACCCTCACATCCCAGATACCAAGAAGGCCAGAACAATGTGTCGGATCCCCTGGAGCTGGAGTTTTGGGTGGTTTGAGTTGCCATGTGGGTGCTGGGAATTCAACCTGAGTCCTCTGCAAGAGCAGCCAGTGCTCTTAACTATTGAGCCATCTCTTCAGCTGCTCTTCCCCAGTTAAACTTTTCTTCCAGAAGACATGAGTTGCCCAGCAGAGAGGTTTTCTGTAACCCCCTCATGAAGGTTTTCCATGCCTATCTGTTGAGTGGTCAGAAGCCTGTGGAGAGGTTTAAGTGACTTTGTGTAGTAGATTCGAGCCTATAAGGTGCACAGCAAGCCTGTATAATGCCTGGGACACAGTTGTCTGATAAAGGTTAGCTATCAGGCAATAGATGCACCGTCTGTTTCACATTCTTAGCAAAAGCAGAAAGTGGGTCAAACCAAGACGTTAGCATGCCGTTCAGACATAGCTTCATTAGGGTCACTGCCCCAAACCCAGCATGGCCATGTGCTGAACTTTCCTCTTCTCCTCTCAAGACATCAATGAGCTCAAGGTGTTTGTGGACCTGGCCTCCATCTCTGCGGGGGAGAATGACATCGACGTGGACCGGGTGGCCTGTTTCCATGACGCCGTGCAGGGCTATGCTTCCCTGCTGTACAAGATGGACTCGGGCACAGACTTCTATGGGTTCATGGATCATCTGCAGGAACTCTGGAGGGCCCTGGACAATGACCAGCACCTGCCCAGCAAGCTGGTGGGTCTACTCAGGATCTGAGTCACAAGAGAGAACCCAAAGACACTATGGGTGCTGGGGTTAGGGTGTGGGACAACTATACCCCAGCAAGAGCAGAGCTGAGGGGTGACAATGGGAAAATGGCTACTCACACCAGCCTGTTTTCTGCTTCGTTCCCAATAGCAAGATTCCGCCAGGAATCTGGAATGGCTGAAGACAGTGAAGGAGAGCCATGGGTCTGTGGAACTCTCGTCCCTGTCCCTGGCCACAGCTATCAACAACAAGGGCATCTATGTTATTCAGGCACCCAAAGGTGGTCAGAAGGTGAGTCTCCAAAAATCCTGGTGCAGTTTTTCATGGTCCTGCGGTCTTGCTACAAAGTCATGGGATTCTGCACCAGAAACTGACTTTCAAATGTGTGCTGCCTCTCAGGTTTCCCCAGACACGGTTCTACACCTCCTCCTTCCTGAGGGCCATGGTGCCCAGGAGGCTCAGCGTACCTACTCCACAGAAGAGCTGAAGGAGCTTCTGAATAAGCTTATGCTAATGTCTGGCAAGAAAGACCACAACAGCAACCTAGAAGTAGAGAAGTTTTCAGAGGTGAGCATTTGAGTTTGTTCTGCTACCCCACAGCGGCCACTCTGGCCTCAAGCTGGCCCAGACACTTTCCTTACTCAGGGTCTAAGTTGGCTTTTGGTCAACACAAAGCTTTGCTCTAATACCCAGAGGGTGATGCTGATGGGTCTGCAGGATGCCTGGCACCACAAACCACAACCCCAGAGGGGTATCTGAAGTAGGGCAGATGCAGGAACAACAAACAGGTCCTCTTCAAGAGCCTGTCACCCCCTACGGAGAAGAGATGACCACTAGATAGTCCTAGAAAGAAATAATCACTTTGCTGCCTCTATAAACTGTCAAGTATCTAGTACACTCCTGTTGAGGCAAGAGGATCTTGATTTTGAGGCCAGCCTGGGCACATGAGACCCTGCTTTTACACACACACACACACACACACACACACACACACACCACACAAACAGGTGCATGTGTGTACAGTCTTTACATTGACATCCTTTTTCTTTCCCCGGACATGGTGATTCACACCTTTAATCCCAGCACTCAGGAGGCAGTCTGGTTCCATAGGGAGCTTAAGGACAGTCAGACCTACATAGTGAGACCCTGACTCAAAAAAGCAAAGAGAGAAAAAGAAAAAGAAGAGAGACCTCTTAATAGGCTGACTGTACCTATGGGAGGAAGAGTTCTTGTGTGATGAATATTAAGTAAATTTTTGGGAAAAGTGTGAGCCAGTGACATGAGTCTAAGACCTTGGAGTTGTAAGTGGAGGTGTGTGTAGGTTCCTGTGTCTCACCTATAGCTCTGTCTGTCTAAGGATGGGTGTGTGTAGGTTTCTGTGTTTCACCTATAGCTCTGGCTATGGATGGGTGTGTGTAGGTTCCTGTGTCTTCCCTGTAGTTCTGGCTATACCTTGGCCTCATGGCTCTCTTTCCCCCAGGTCTTCAGCAGCATGCTGAGGCTTGTACATGCCTTTATAAACCTGCACTGTGCGGGCAACATGCTCTTCAGGACTTGGACTGCTGAGGTCTACTGTCGCCCCAGATCGGGTGTCTCCATCCGCATGGACTTTGGCTTGGAGCTGGTGAACACGTTGGCAGAGAGTGGTGATGTCATCGAGCTCCTGGGAGCCCTCTGCAGGCAGATGGAGAACTTCTTAGATGACTGGAAAACAGTAGTCACCCAGAAGAGAGCCAAACACTTTTACCTCAACTTCTACACAGCTGAGCAGCTTGTCTACCTGAGCAGTGAGCTCATGAAATGTAGACCCAGTGAAGCTGCCCTCATGATGCTGTCTTTCATCAAAGGCAATTGCACCGTACGTGATATCTTAGAAGCCACCAGTTCCCATGAAAGCAAGGCTGCCAGACAATGCCAGATGAAGGCTGTGAAACACCTGTCTCAGCAGCTACGTTCTGAGTCCAGCTTAATGGGCAAGCTTCGGGTTATTATGGAGCAATCCACAGTGTGCATGAGTGCCTTCCTGCCAGACTGCCTGGACCTGGATGCCCTGGGTACATGTCTGGCTCATCTGGCCACACTGGGTGACTCTCCTGTGGAGCGGCCACTCCCCAAAGGCCTGCAGGTTGGCCAGCCCAACCTGGTACTGTGTGGCCACTCTGAGGTACTGTCGGCTGCACTGGCCATCTATATGCAGGACCCCAGACAGCCTCTGCCCACCTTTGATGAGGTGTTGCTCTGCACCCCAGGGACCACAGTTGAGGAGGTGGAACTACTCCTAAGACGCTGCCTCACCCCAGGGTCCCAGGAACACAAGATCTACAGCTTGCTGTTCGCAGACCAGCTGAGCTATGAAGTGGGCTGCCGGGCAGAGGACCTCTTCCAGACCCTGGGCACACAGCGCCACCTTGAAGACTACCAGTTGGTGATAATCTGTGATGCTGCTCGGGAGCACTGCTACCTACCCTCCACCTTCAGCCAGCACAAAGTCCCCCTGGTCCCCCAGGCCCCACTGCCAGACATCCAGGCCTACCTGGAGAAACATTATCAGGTCCCGAAGCAGACCCCATCAGCAGCGGCTGTATTCAGAGACCGGATGTGTGTTGGGATCGTGACCTCTGAAAGAGCTGGTGTTGGTAATGAAAGAGCCTGTGGGTGGAGAGGTCCCCTCTACCAGAAACTGCCCAATGACGCTTCCTCTTCCAGCAGGGGACACACAGATAAAGCCCCTCTGGCTCCTTCTTAGCTGTAGACCAGTGTCCTTTCTTGCCTAGTTTTGAAAATCTAGCCATCCCCAAGAGGCCCATTCCCTCCCCTCAGCAGCCTTTCTGTAGTTTTACTTCCTCTGTAAATTCTTGGCCTCTAGTGTCCGTGTTGGTTCTGGATGAGAAGAAACTCTGAGAGCATCCTTTGGTTGCTGTCTGTTTCCTCCATCTGTCCACTCACTCTTCCCTGAACCACGCTGGGAGAGAGCTTGTTCCTCCATGCTCTTCCCTTTGCTCACTTAGGTGCACCATCAGTAGCAAGGAAAAGGCAAAGCTGGCCAGTGGGTGGTAGACAGGGAACCCAGGGTCATGGGGTCAGTAAGCAGTGATGGCACACTGCATCCATATTGAGTTAAACTTAGAGTAACTTCCACGACATCTCTGTTCTCCTGCTCTCAGTCTGTAGATTTGGGGTCTAATTTCTGTGTGTGCACATCGCAGGGAAGTCACTCTACGTGAACAGATTGCACGAGAACCTGAAGATGAAGCTAAAGGATGACAAGGTGCCTTTAAAAGTCATTCGGCTGACAGATCCTCACGTGGACGAGAGCCGAGTCCTGCGCTCCCTCCTGCCATTCCTGAAGGGGCCTTATCAGAAGACGCCTATGATAGTCCACATTGATGTGAGCACTTCAGTAAGTGTCCTGGCATCACCCCCCCACACACACACAAGGACTGTGACATGGGAGGAAGGCTCGGCTGCCATATCCTGACTGCCTCCTCTCTCCACACACACCCCTCATTAACATCGTCCTGTCATGGGGCAAACAAGCCAGTCCTTAGCGTGAGGGCAACGGCTACCACCCTACACACTCACAAGCCTGTGTCTCCTTCTGTAGGTACGGACTGGGATTCCTGTCTTTCTTTTCAAACTCCTCATTCTCCAGTACCTAATGGATATAAATGGGAAAATGTGGCTTCGGAACCCGTGTCATTTATATATTGTTGAAATCTCTCAAGAGCCCTCGGTACAGCCGATGATGAGGTCTTCTAGATTGGTGCGTATCAACAAAAACAAGCATAAAGGTTTGACTGTGGTGAAGCACACTTTATCCTGGTTTGTTTTTTGCCAACATGATGCAAGCATCTGAGAAGGGGGAACCACAATTGAGAAAATCCCTCCATAAGACTACCTGCAGGCAAGTTTGTAGGGCACAGGGCATTTTCTTGACTAATGATTGTAGCTGGGCCCAGCCCATGGGGGTGGGGGGGGGCATTCCCACCTGCAGGCTTGTGGTTCTGGATGTCACAAAGAAGCAGGCTGAGCAAAGCAGTAAGCAGTGACCCCATGGCTTTCTGCTTCAGTTCCTGCCTCCATCTTCTTGGCCTGAGATCCTGCCCTAACTGTTCTCAGTAATGGACTGTAATGGGAGCGCTGTAAGATGAAATAAGCCCTTTCCTCCCTAAGTATCTTTTAGTCATGGTGTTTTATCTCAGCGATATGAGCTCTCACTAGGCCAGAAATTGGTACCTGGTTCATGGGATACTGCTGTGACAGACCTGACCATGTCTTTTGGAGAGAATTATGGTGATATTTGAACTCTGAGCCACTGAGTGCCCAGAGCTCAGTGGAATATTTTCTGGGAGCTTGTAAGATTACCATGCTGACAGGTAGAGGCCTGGCTTGTGACATGCAGGGGGAAGTAAAGACTCCTATCAGGGCTATTTGAGTGATGTTTTGAATTAAGCTGTGGTTCTGGTCAGCTGGGGCTGAAGAATGGACTAGACCGTGATTGACAAGAGACCAGAACCACTAACACGACCCTTTGCTTTGCTTGGACAATTCATGCTGGTCAGTGGGGTGGAGAAATTACCTCTGACTGAGATCAGCATCACTGGATCAGCACACAGATGCTATGGTCCAAAGGGTGACAAGGCTGTACCTCAGGCTTGTAGCCCAACTGGATTATGCCGAGAGCTGCCATCTCTCAGTAATACAGAATAATCTTGAGGTAGAATTAATGCTATAAGGGATTTACTAATAAGCTTGCTTAGGAAATATCAAGTTACACAAAGTAGAATTTACCTAAAGAAGCACTGCCTCTAGTATGACTGAAAGACAGTGTACTAACCGTGCTTATTAGCAACTGTAGGAAAGACAATTCTCCACCCTAACTAAATGCAGGCTTGCTGAGAACGTTCAGTCACTGAGACTGACCTCCAGTAATACTCCATTCCCATAACAAATGGAGACAGCCCTGATTTACAGCTAGCCTTTGGTCCAGCCCCCTATCAAAAAACTCAAGCGGGCAGCACAGGCTCACAACCACCACTAAGTCCCCTGTGCTCTCAGGAAAAGCCTAATCCTGCCAGGTGGGCAAGATGACCCTGGGTTGCAGCTATTCAAAAAGAACAGCACTGGTGTTGTAAGAAATAATTCTGGTAATATCTCATCTGCCCTAGTGATCAGCCTCCCATCTCTGTTCAAACTGTTCAAAGTACAACCTGGGCCTGGGACCTGAAAGACTTAAGGACCACAGCATGTGTGGATTGTATAAGCCTAAGGTGTATATAAGCTAGTAAAATCTTCTATTGGAGGCTGGATCCTCTTTGAGCATTACCCAGAGCCAAGTGTGTGGCATGGCTTCTCACTGGAAGGCACATTAATTCTGTAAGCCCAGTTCAGAGAAGATGAGTTCCTCTTGGACCTGAGTACTTAAAGAGGTTTGGTGCTCACACCCCATACACAGTTGTATGTGCACAGTGAAGAAACAAGTCCCAGAGTTGATAGGAAATGCTTCCTTGTCAAGGATGTGTCTTCTACTTCAGTTCTCTAAAAACTCAGCAGGCAAGAGTTGCAGCCTGTTGGAGACAAGTGAAATCCTGTGTACACTTGGCAAGTTAAAACACAAAGGCAGGGGCTGGAGAGATGGCTCAGCGGTTAAGAGCACCGACTGCTCTTCCAGAGGTCCTGAGTTCAATTCCCAGCAACCACATGGGGGCTCACAACCATCCGTTATATGATCTGGTGCCCTCTTCTGGTGTGCAGATATACATGGAAGCAGAATGTTGTATACATAATAAATAAATACAATCAAAAAAACAAAAAACAAAAACACAAAGGCAGAGCTGGAGAGATGGCTCATTGGTTAAGAGCACTGGCTGCTCTTCCAGAAGACCTGGGTTCAATTCTCAGCACCCAGATGGCCCCTCACAACTGTCTATAACTCCAGTTCCAGGGGATCTGACACCTTCACACCAATGCACATAACGTAAATTTAAATAAATTATAAAAAAGAACCCACAAAGGCAGTTTCTACGAAGTTCAATGACAATGTGTTTCCTCTCTGCAGAATGCACGTGAGCCTCTATTCAAGTTTCTTGATATTTTCCCCAAAGTCATGTGCCGTCCCCCCAAGGAAGTGATCGACATGGAGCTGACTCCCGAGGGGAGCCACAGAGAACCTGGAATGGACCCCATGGAGTTCATCAGTGAAGCTTTCCAAAGACCATACCAATATTTAAGACGGTTCCACCAAAACCAGAACCTGGACACATTTCAGTACAAAGAAGGCTCTGTGGAAGGCTCTCCTGAGGAGTGCCTGCAGCACTTCTTGATTTACTGTGGTGTGGTAGATCCTTCCTGGGCGGAGCTTCGGAACTTCGCTTGGTTTCTGAACTGTCAGCTCAAGGACTGTGAGGCTTCTGTCTTCTGCAACTCAGCTTTTACTGGAGACACACTCAGGGGCTTCAAGAACTTTGTGGTAACCTTCATGATCTTAATGGCGAGAGATTTTGCCACTCCATCTCTTCACACTTCAGACCAAAGCCCGGGTAATCACCTGGTCACCATGGATGGAGTTGCTGAAGAAGACCTAGCTCCCTTCTCTCTTCGAAAGAGGTGGGAGTCAGAGCCCCATCCGTACGTTTTCTTTAATGGTGACCGCATGACCATGACATTCATAGGTTTTCACTTGCAGCCTAACAACAATGGCTATGTGAATGCCATCAATCCCTCGAATGGGAAGGTCATCAAGAGGAATGTCATGACAAAGGAACTGTTTGATGGGCTGAAGCTTCAGAGAGTACCCTTCAATATCGACTTTGATGATTTGCCCAGATATGAGAAACTTGAAAGACTCTGTCTGGCACTAGGGATTGAGTGGCCCATTGACCCCGATGAAACGTACGAACTTACAACAGACAATATGCTTAAGATCCTGGCCATTGAGATGAGATTCCGGTGTGGGATACCAGTGATCGTCATGGGCGAGACAGGTTGTGGGAAAACCAGGCTCATCAAGTTCCTTAGTGACCTCAAGCGTGGTAGTGTTGAGGCAGAAACTATGAAGTTGGTGAAGGTGCATGGAGGGACGACTCCATCCATGATCTACTCCAGGGTCAAGGATGCTGAGAGGACAGCCTTCTGCAATATGGTCCAACACAATTTGGATACCATCTTGTTCTTTGACGAAGCCAACACAACAGAAGCTGTAAGCTGTATCAAAGAGGTCCTGTGTGACGGAACCGCAGATGGTGAGTGCCTGCACAAGAGCTCTGGCCTGCATATCATTGCTGCTTGCAACCCTTACCGGAAACACTCCCAGGAGATGATCCTCCGCCTGGAGTCAGCCGGCTTGGGATACAGGGTGAGTGCGGACGAGACTGCGGACAGGCTGGGCTCCATCCCCTTGCGGCAGCTGGTGTACCGCGTCCATGCTCTGCCCCCGAGCCTCATCCCTTTGGTGTGGGACTTTGGACAGCTGAACGACGCCGCGGAAAACCTGTACATCCAGCAGATCGTCCAGAGACTGGTGGACTCCCACGCTGTGGCTGACAGTCAAGCTGGAGTGATTGTGAGTGTGCTCTCCGCCTCCCAGAGGTTCATGAGGAAGAGGGAGAACGAGTGTGGTTTCGTCAGCCTCCGGGACGTGGAGCGCTGCGTGAGCGTTTTCAGGTGGTTTCACGACCACAGTGAGATGCTCTTAAAGCAGCTGGATGGTTTCCTCCAGGAATCCAGTAGTGACAGCAGACATACTTTTGAGAGAGATCCTGTTCTCTGGTCCCTGGTAATGGCCACTGGGGTGTGTTACCATGCCTCTTTGCAAGAGAAAGCGCCCTACCGCAAAGCCATCGGCAGGTATTTCCCAGAGCCTTACAACGACAGCAATGCCATTCTTGAGGAGATCACTCATGCACAAGATCTTTTTCTGAGGGGGGCACCCATCAGGACAAACATAGCCAGGAACTTGGCTTTGAAGGAGAATGTCTTCATGATGGTAATCTGCATTGAGCTTAAGATCCCCCTTTTCCTGGTGGGCAAGCCCGGCAGCTCCAAATCCCTTGCCAAGACCATTGTAGCCGATGCCATGCAAGGGCAGTCTGCCTTCTCTGATCTCTTCCGCTGCCTGAAGCAGGTCCACCTGGTGTCTTTCCAGTGCAGCCCCCATTCCACTCCGCAAGGGATCATCGGCACCTTCAGACAGTGCGCTCGCTTCCAGCAGGGCAAAGACCTCCAGCAGTATGTGTCTGTGGTGGTGCTGGATGAGGTGGGACTGGCAGAAGACTCACCCAAAATGCCCCTAAAGACTCTGCACCCCCTGCTGGAGGATGGCTGCATTGAGGATGACCCTGCCCCATACAAAAAAGTTGGCTTTGTTGGCATTTCCAACTGGGCTCTGGATCCTGCCAAAATGAACCGAGGCATTTTCGTGTCCCGTGGCAGTCCCAACGAGAAAGAGCTCATAGAGAGTGCCGAGGGGATCTGCTCTTCGGACAGGCTGGTTCAGGACAGAATCCGAGGGTATTTTGCACCCTTTGCCAAGGCCTATGAAAGAGTGTGTCAGATCCAGGACAAGGAATTCTTTGGGCTTCGTGACTATTATAGCCTCATCAAGATGGTCTTTGCCAAAGCCAAAGCTTCAAATCAGAGCCTTTCTCCACAAGACATCGCTCACGCTGTCCTTCGGAACTTCAGTGGCAAAGACAACATCCAGGCACTGGACATCTTTACAGCCGGCCTTCCTGAGTCTAGGCACAAGGAAGAGGTCAGCACTGTGGAGCTGATCAAGCAGAACATTTACAGTGGTCTGCAGGCCTCCAGCAGGGGACTGGACAGTGTGGAGTCCCGTTATTTGCTCGTGCTGACCAGCAACTATGTGGCCCTGCAAATCTTACAGCAGACATTCTTTGGTGAGGGTCAGCAACCTGAGATCATTTTCGGCTCCAGCTTTCCCCAGGACCAGGAATACACCCAGATCTGCAGGAACATCAATCGGGTGAAGATCTGCATGGAGACGGGGAAGATGGTGGTGCTGCTGAACCTGCAGAACCTGTACGAGAGCCTGTACGATGCTCTCAACCAGTACTATGTCTACCTGGGGGGCCAGAAGTACGTGGACCTGGGACTAGGTACCCATCGAGTCAAATGTCGCGTCCACCCGGACTTCCGCCTCATCGTCATTGAAGAGAAAGATGTGGTGTACAGACAGTTCCCTGTGCCCCTCATCAACCGGCTGGAGAAGCACTACCTGGACATCAACACCATGCTGGAGGGGTGGCAGAAGGGCATTGTGAGTGAGCTGCAGCAGTGGGCCTGTGAATTTGCAGATACGAAAGCAGACCAGCTCATTGCCAGGCACAAGTACAGCCCAGCAGACGTCTTCATTGGCTACCACTCTGACGCCTGTGCCTCTGTGGTGCTGCAGGCTGTGGAGAGGCAGGGCCCCAGGGACCTGACTGAAGAGCTATACCGCAAGGTGTCTGAAGAGGCCAAGTTCATCCTGCTGGAGTGTGCGACAGCTGACGCTGTGGTCCGGCTGAGTGGTTCCTCTCTGGGCTCCTTCACTGCAGAGCAACTGTCAAAGGAGTATTACCACAGCCAGCAGCACAACTCCTTCGCAGACTTCCTGCAGGCCCACCTGCGCACGGCCCATCTGCAGTGCCAGGCTGTCTTCACAGAGGTAACCGTCTTCCCACAGCCTTACCCTCTCTGCTCTGTCACCCCAGAGTCCCAGGTTCCTGGGGTCGGTAACTCAAGCTCTAACCAGCATGCAAGGTGGCATACATAGGTAACAAGGGCCTGCCAACACCAGGCTCTTCATTGTGTTCTGAGCACAGTGGGTAAGTTCAGTGTCCCAGTCGGTGAGTGTGTGTGGAGCTTAGAAAGGCAGTGTTCACGGTGTTCGAGCAGTTAGGGTCCGCGCCACAGAAAACCTCTCCTGGGGTGGAGAGGAGGACAGATGTGATTTTCTTTAACAGGCACCCTTAGTGCTGGCTGGGCACAACAAGGACAAAGGGACTGAGATTGAAAGTCCCTGGAAGAAGTCATGGTAGAGCTTGAGATTGCAAGCTGTGAGTGTTGTGTCCTGAGGTTGAGAAGGTAAAAGACCTGTTGGGGGTCCTCAGTGGCTCTGCTAAGGAACCTGATCCCTCCTGTCTAGAGGACACTGCAGGGGGATGTCCAGAAAGGCCTTGGCAATAGGACAGCAATGAGGCAGAAGACCATTAAGGGGAACAGGCCAGTTAGAAGCTTCAGGATCAGGATCATTAAAGCGGAGAGGCAGATGGCATCAGGAAGTGGTGGGAAGTCTGGTGTGGGGGCACACACCTTTAATCACTGCACACAAGAGGCAGAGACAGGCGGATCTCTGATTTTCAGGCCAGCCTGGTCTTACAGAGTGAGTTTCAGGACAGGCAGGGCTACACAGAGGAAGAACCCTTGTCTTGAAAAATGGTTAGGAGCACTAGGTTCTCTTCCAATTCCCAGAACCCACATGGCAGCTGACAACCAGCTGTAGCTCTAGTTCCAGGGGATTCAATGCCTTCCTCCGACCTCTGCAGCCATCACATACACATGTGGAACAGCCATCCACAGAAATGAGAGAAGAAAAGAAAGATGAAATGGTGGGGCGCATACACACAGGCTAATTGCTGGCTTCACGAAGGAGCAGTGGGCATGAGCACCTGGTGACAGGGCACTCCTGGACCCCTCCTAACTGCCTGGAGGCTTTGCTTAGCAACACAGAAGGTTCAGGAATGAGCATCAGGTTTGAACATGAGGGAATCAGAAGCTCAGGGATCAGGCTAGGAGGTAAGAACTGGGGGTTCAAGTGTCAGCACACCCTAAGGGATATTGGAGCTTGTAGTGTGGGGTGTGGTCACTGAGAGCTGCCGTGGTAGGAGAAGAGAGGCCAGTGGCTGACACCACCCGACAGAATGAAGTACTGAATGAGAAGTGACATTTTCCCTGAGTCCCAAAGGACCCCGAGACTCCCCAGAAGGGTCACAAAGTAGGAAGGAGAGTATGGCACCTGCCGGGGCACTTCTCTTTGGTGCCTTTTAACCCTGCAGGTCCTCTTACCTCACCTGTCTTGTTTCTGGAGATACTCTGGGCCTGTGCCTCCCGTACACACACTGTGCCATGCACACCTATCATGGGCTGGGCTCAGCCTCCTCATGTCTCTAGGTTCTACACCAGGCCTCCCCGTTGGTTTCTGGCCAACAGTTTGTCTCCCTTTTTGCAGATCACCACTTTCTCCAGACTGCTCACCAGCAGTGACTGTGAAGTCTTAGAATCGGAGCTGAGAGGGTTGGCCTCAAAGATCATGGTCCTATCACTGCAGCAATTTGACACTGAATATTCCTTCCTTAAAGAAGTCCGGTGAGGTGCCCTGCTGACTCCAATCTTAGGGACCACAACCTGGCCGGGGCTTTGGCAGGGCTCTAGTAACTGGCACTGGTTAGTGAACTGGGGGAGGGGGTCATCTAGGCCTCTCTGTCCCCACTACTCTACTCCTCTCCTATCTTGCTGGCCACTTAGAATTCCACTAAGTCATCTGCTTACCTGATGGCAGGCATCTCTCTGCATGCTGTTTCTCCCTGGCCCTGGCCTCACCCTCCTTTGAGGAATTCCTTTATCCATTTCCTGGGACAGGGAACTCACCTGATAATTCCCTTTCTCCACCAGTTGCTGCTTAATGAACCCAGCCAGGTGTAAAATCTTAGTCATCCAGACAGACTTCGATGACGGTGTTCACAGCGCCCAGCTGGTAGCTTCTGCCAAGTATGTTTTCAGGGGTTGTCTAGAAACAACACAGGGAACTGACATTCACTTACAACCTGAGAAGAAAGAACCTCTGCTCTGCAAGCAGTACGGTGTCATGAGAAATAGAAATTAGCAAGGAAATTCTCTTCATGTAACTGGATGACTGAATTAATGAGGGGAAAAAGCTAGAGTTCTGGGGAATAGCTCAGCCACGTGATCAAGACCACCCGAGGTCCATCCCCAGTGCCCATGTGAAAGCTGAGTGTGGCAATGCACACTTGCAATGCCAGTGCTGGGGAGGCAGAGCCAGAAGCTCCTTGGGCAAGCTTAGCCTAATCAGAGAGCCCCCATGTCCTAATGATACTGTCTAAGGAATGATGCCGGCAGTTTGATCTCTGGCTTCCACACTCAGGAAGACATGTATACATGTTCATGCACACCCACACATGTGGGGGGAGGAGAACAAATCTGTAAAACACAAGTATAAATAGTAGCCTGTGTCACAGCAGGGCAAGGCCCTGAGAGTAGACGATTCGATAGAGGGTTCTGGGAGGTTGTGACGTGCTGGCCAGCTCCCAGCATAGTCTGCGTGCTTGTGTGGTATTGATTTGTGTTTGTTTTCCAACAGGTATTCTGCCATCAATGAAATCAACAAAACACGAGGAACAAAGGACTTTGTCTTTGTTTATTTTATTACAAAGCTTTCCCGAATGGGAAGTGGCACCTCGTACGTGGGGTTCCATGGAGGTATGCCTAGAGCAGAGCTTCTCAATCTGTGGGTTGCATTACGAGTCATGACAGTAGCACAATTACAATTATGAGTAGTAATGAAATAATTTTATGGTTTGGGTCACCACAACAGTGTTAGGAAGGTTGAGAGCCACTGCTCTGGAGTGCTTTCCTTTAAGTAGTATTTGAGGTATTTCTCATGTGGTCCTGTGTCTGAAATTAGAATGTGAATCCCAGCTACACTTTAAAGTCACAATTAGATTTCTTACCCAGTCACTGAAGCCATTATTTTTAGCTGGGTATGGTGGTTGCACACACTTGTAATCCCAGATTTCTGGAGGCAGAAGGATTGCAGGTTTAAAACCAGCCTGGACTACACAGAAAGACTTGGTCTCAAAAAAGAAGCAAACAAATCAACTCTGGGCACACAGCAGTGGCTTTAGCATCTCTGTCTACTTAGGTGAGGACTGCCAGCACTCTGACTTCCTCCTTGTATGATGGAGGGATTCTGAGACCCTCCCACCCACCAGCACCCATACACCAGCTTGGCTTTCATTTCCTATCCGCACTGACTCTTTGTGGGAGAAACTTTATCTTTGTATCAGACCCCTGATCTCTCCTGCTTTAAGACACATGTATTCCATAAACTGGAAATAAACAATGGATAATTTCACAGACACTGGAAAGCAGACCTTCCCAGTCCCTCACAGGGCTTTCCTAATTGTGATGAGTTGGGTACAGTGAGATGTGAGTGAGGAGCTCCCCCTGGGCCCTCTGCAAGAGGTTGCTTTAGATCTTAACCAGTGCTTAGGTTGACCTTGTTGACAGATCTTGTGGTTTCTCACATGTCCAATGGCTTAGACTTTGGGGGACTAATCACTCCTTCAGCAGCAGTGTAGTTAGAAATCTGGGTGAAGGGGCCGGAGTGAAACCTCAGTGATTAACAGCACTGACTGCTGGTCCAGGGGACCTGGGTTCAATTCTTAGCACCCACATGGTGGGTCACAGTCATCTGCATCTCTAGTTCCAGGGATCTGACACCCTCTTCTGACATAGAAGGCAAGAATGTGGTGTACATATATGCATGCAAACAAATACTCAGTACATAAAAACCAGTCAATCAAAAGAGGGCTGGAGAGATGGCTCAGCAGTTAGGGGCACTGACTGTTCTAGGGGTCCTGAGTTCGGTTCCCAGCAACCACATAGTGGCTCACAACCAACTTGAATGAGATCTGGTGCCCTCTGTTGGCCTGCAGGCAGAAGACTGTATACATAATAAATAAATAAAATATTTAAAAGAAAAGAAAAGAAAAGAAAAAAATCTGTGTTAGCCCAGCTTTCTGGCTTAGGAGGTAAAGGCACCTTCTGTGAAACTTGACAGTCTGGGTTTGATCCCTGGGCAGATGGACAGACAGAACCAACTATCACAAGTTATCTTCTGACTCCACACACGTGCTATTGCACACGTGCACACCCACACATACAAATACACAAACACACAAAACTAATAATGAAAATAAAAAAGAAAAGATCCAGGTTGGTTTTATGTCTTTGTTTATAAATGACAAGAAGAAAACAGCCAAGTTACAGAAGATTCCAGTGACTTTGTTCTTCACAGGCCTGTGGCGTTCTGTGCATATTGATGACCTCCACAGATCTACAATCATGGCCTCAGATGTCACTAAACTGCAGAATGTCACCATCAGCCAGCTGTTCAAGCCAGGGGACAAACCCAAGTGTGAGTCACAAGACAGTCGTCTGGGGACATGGTGTAAGAGACAGGTGGGACATGCCAGTAGTGCTGTAGTGCTGGATGCCACTCTGCTGTCCCAGCTGTGGTGGAGCCAGGGGAAGGCACCCACCCGAGTATGCCCACAGCGAGCCAGGCTACTTTATGGTTCCCTTGCTGGCCCTGAATGCCCAGGCTAGGGAACGCCTGAGCAAGACTTGGAGCTGATTTACAAAACTAGGGCCACCACTGCAGATAGGGACAGGGAAGCCTGGCAAGTCCCAGCCTATCTCAGATAGTCTGACACACCCCATTCTGGTCCCACTTGCTAACTCAAGCGTGTTTGCCTTGCCTTTTGGCTAGCAGATGACTCAGAGGAGGCGATGGAGACAGAGACCATCGAGTCAGGGGAAATGGCAGAGGAAAAAATGGAAACAGAATGCCCAGAGGAAATGGAGATGGCCTCTGACCCAGGAGGCTGTGAGGTGAGTACTGCTTTTCCCATTGGCTAAGGGAGCTGTAGCTCTGACCTCTCTCCTGGGAGTTAAAAGAACCAACCCCCGTGTTTATGGCTGGGGAGAGGGGAGAGTGGCTGAGCCCTCTCCTCCTTCCACAGTGGATGTGTAAGTGAGTCTTTCCCGTCACTAAATAGTTGCATCCCGTTCCTTCATCCCTGCCTCACTTGCTAATGTGGGCCAGCAAGGGATAAGGTCGATAGGTTGTGATTTTTATCATAATGACCACCAACTGGGGCCACATGACAGCTAACACAAAACCATCATTTCACAATGGTGGCCTGGCCTTTGTCCAGACTGGAACTGCCACAACAGAAGCCTACACTCTTCCTTGGTGTTCGCAGGTCCTAGACACCACCAGACTGCTGCGGAGCTGTGTGCAGAGCGCAGTGGGGATGCTCAGAGACCAGGATGAGGGTTGTGCACGCAACATGAGGAGAGTCACCATTCTTCTTGGCCTCTTAAATGAAGACAACATGCGCAATGGTAAGCAGTGTACCCGGCACTGAATCACTGGCCTCATGTGGAAAGGGTAACCTTTCGGGCTTCTTGGACTTGGCGGAAGCAGGGGGCAGTTAGAATCCATGCTCATCTGTCAGAATCTTTGACAGAACTTTGCTGGCCAAAGGTTCGGCAGCTTTTCTCTTGGGTAAGATGGGTCAAAAACTATGATGGGCCCTGCAGCCTAGTGTGGGCGAATAGGCCAGATCAGCTCCCCACTGTCTTCACAGCCTCCTTTCTGTGGGAATCCAAGATGCGCCTCCATGTTCTCCTAAAGAAGCAAGAAGAGAACCAGGTCTGCAGTCTAAAGGCGTGGGTCGCCAGGGAGGCTGCTAATCAGGATGCCCTCCAGGAGGCAGGCACCTTCAGGTACAAGGGTAAAGGAAGCGTGGAGGCCTTTGTACCCTTCCAGTGTGACTCTTAGTCATGTACACCTGCCTGTGTGACTCTTAGTGATGTGTGTATGCCTGATGGTGTGACTCTTAGTGATGTTCTCTTCTTGGTGTGACATTTAGTAATGTACTTTGCTGGTACGACTCTTAGTGGTGCTCTCCTGCTGGTGTGACTCTTAGTGATGTTCTCCTGCTGGTGTGACTCTTAGTGGTGTTCTCCTGCTGGTGTGACTCTTAGTGGTGCTCTCCTGCTGGTGTGACTCTTAGACATTTACATCAAGGATAAGCGCCTGGGTATTTCTTCCTATACTTGAGCAAATTAGAGATGTAACTCACCTTAAATGAACCTGGTTGGTGCTTATAAAGGACATTTCTGGTCTTTCCTCATTTTTTAAAGATTTATTTATTTATTATGTATACAGTTTTCTGGCATGTAGATGGTTGTGAGCCACCCTGTTACTAGGACTTCAACTCAGGACCTTTGGAAGAACACCTAGTGCTCCTAACCACTAAGCCATCTCTCTAGCCTTATCTTTTCTCATTTTATTTAAACTTTTTCTATAATAAAAATATTCAGGGGGTCATGCGTTGACTCGAGCCTGGGTCCTCTGGAACAGTTACCCATGCTGTTACCCACTGAGTCAACTCAACCACTTTCCCCACTCATGAAAATGATGGAAGAAGCCATTGTTGCTTCGGCTCCCATGCAGGAGCCTGAGGATGAGGATACAGAGGCAGTGGCGTGTGTCATGGTTACCTTAACCGTAGTGGCTTTCCTCTGCCCCTGCTGCAGGCACACCCTTTGGAAGCGGGTCCAAGGTGTGGTCACCCCCTTCCTGGCAAGCATGATATCTTACATGGACAGAGATGGCAACCTGGAGCTACTGGCCCAGCCAGATTCACCAGCCTGGGCCCAAGATCTTTGGATGTTTATTTTCAGAGACATTAAGTTCCTGAACATCCCTCTTGTGGTTACTGACACCAGGTGAGTGAAGGGTGCCTTGTTTTTATGGAGGGGAAGGTCATGACAGAGCAACACCTTGTTCTCTCCCCGAAATACTGGTGGTACCCTCTGTACCTGCTCACTGCAGCCTGGACAATCACACACAGTGGTAGACAATGCTGCTCACTGAAACCCTTGGCCTCTGTGCTGTCCCATCTGCCTGCTTTGAGAGCACACTTGATGGTTCCTTTGTGCTACACAGATGCTGAGCATGGCATAAACTGTACTTTGCCTTCCCTGTCCTTGTCCCTTCCCCCAAATGTAGGCTTCACACTTATGGTCAGACCTCTGTGCACAGGGCCGGGGGGGGGGGGGGGGGGGGGGGGGGGGGGG